CGTAAAAGTGTTTGGACATAAATTGATGTACACATTATGAATACATAATATTTTACAAGATTGCCAAAGACCACTAAGGGGTTCTTGCCTGCTGTAAATCTGTCTATTATGAGGATGCAACATTCACATCAGTTTAGCTGAAACTTGCAGAATAACTTTGAAATGTGGACCACCTTATTTCTAAGATACCTGGCCCTGTGTTCACAGAAGATTTCTACCCGCAGCTAGTATGAAAAATGTGCAAGTCCAAATAGCCCTTTCTACATTCTTCATGAGACCTATGTATGGATACATTCTCATAGTTGATATAAATTATAGATTAAATTATTTCCCCATATAAATAATAAATTTTACCCAAAGATGCTTTTTGAGTTAAGATTGGCTACATTTTTAAGAGACATTTTCCTGGCTGCAGTTAACATTCAATGGGCAAATCATCTCCATTAACTACTCGCTACCTAAAGTAGGCCAAACTGATCCAGGAAAGAGGATCATACGGTTGGAAATAACCTCTGAGTTAGATGCTGCAGTCTCTTTTTGTTCAGAATTAGACTGAGCATGCATGCAGAGGCCTAAATGAGACAGAAGGCTGCTTTATGAAAGTAAGCAGGAAATCTATTCTCTTCTACACAAACTAATGCAATAAGGTTTTCCTAGGGTCTATCTATGAAATCCCAACTTACAACTGAAAGAAAATACACACAAAGAAAGCCAGTCACACTGTATTTTGATAATCAGAAAATGGCAAAACTACTTGCTTATGCAAGAACTGCAAGTTCACCTTTCCCGCGTTGATTGTAGAGCTTGGAGGATCACGAAAAGCAAATGTGAACTTAGAAATTCCTTTGAATGGAGCAGAAAACTAATCAAGAAACAATGCTGTATTGGGACACTGACACTAGAGTAAGAATTTGTCCTATCAGTCCTACCATGTAACTGTTTTATATGGCAAGCATAGCAACTGAATAATTTCCGTATTAAGTTCAACCAGTCATCAGCTTGAAGAAAACGAAAGAGCAAAGGATCTGGCAGCCATCAACGGAAACTGTGTGCCATGCCTCAGATATGTATTTAAAAACTTGGTGGCATCTGGATTCGTAGAGCCGTGGAAGAACAGAAAAGCCTACTGACATGGTTAAAGTATGATTGGGCCTTTTAAGAATATTTAGTTCCAGCTTGACATGATGATGCAAAAGGATTGAAGATTAGTGGTCTGTTTACATATAACTTCAGTGAAAAATACTTTCTAATGTGAACAAAAGCATAAGCTTTTAGAACAATCACAAGACAGAAATGAAGAATTTAACAAATGCTACAATATAGAGAGATGGAATGAGAAGGCAAAAGCTGCCTCCTGAAAGAATGAAGATTAAAATATGAGACTGGAACACTAGCAAGAATGTGATGTTATAAGAGCAATCAAAGGATCTTGGTGTCTAGTTAACAAAATAGTTAAGGAAAAATCATACACTCTTTGATGCATCAGATGTAAGTAAGTTTAAGAAAATGGATCACAGTGTAATAGTGAAAAATATACTTTCGATCCTATAAAAAAGGCACTGTAAACCTGTTATTGATAATTTACCAGCAACTTGGGCTGTTTGCTGCTATTTCCTGTTTGGCTTGAATTATATATGTATAACTTTTTACAGGATATTTTAATATTTTATAACACTAAGAAACTTGAGCAGTGCTCTACTTAACTACAAGAAATATTTATTTTCAATGCAAGCTATATTTTGATAATTTGAGAATAAAGATTGTAATGAAAAATGATCGAAATATTTTTTACTAATTTCATGTTAGTACAGAATCAAAATGGAATCCATTAAAAGAATTTTTTGGTATAAACTTTGCTTGGAGTATATTAATCAGAAGGCCAAACCTGTAACACCAAGACAAGGCATGGGCAGGTTGCAGATCTGTGGATGTGTTCGACTTCAGTATTCCTCCCTATTGGCTATGTTAGTGAGAACTTCTGAGAGTTGAAATCCAAAACATCTGGAGATCTGGCTTTTGCCTGCTTCTGTTACAGGTCCAGCTTTCCCTACTCTTGTGCCCTCCAGTTATACTGGACTTCCACCCCCATCAAATCCAGAGAGATAGAGAAGATGAAGTGAAATGAATTATCTGGGAAAAACCGTGGTTGCTTTGTTGGAACCCCGAACAGGCACATTCTACACTGCAGCATTTCGTTGCAGGGCCCGCTTGCTAATGAGAAACATAATTGGGACATCACTGCATCCTGCCTAAGGAACCACATGTGAGATTGGGTCCAGAATCTGCCTTCTTTAAGAGAAAGGGACTTTCCGCAAGAGGAAGTTCTCTCCTAACATAATTTGGGTGGATTCCCCTCAGCCCAGTTTTGAGGGATTCCCCTCTCCCTCTCCAGCCAGGGCTCACCCAGTTCAACCAGGGCCGTCTTAACAGCATTATGGGCCCCGGGCAAAGCAGTGTACTGGGGCCCCTACGACAACTACTGTTAATTTTGGAAGTTTTCCAATTTTCCAAGGGTTAACATACACAGATTAGTATGGGGCCCGCGGGCAAGTGCCCATCAGGCCCATGCATTAAGATGGCCCTGAGTTCAGCAAAGCCTCCTGACTGCCAGGAGGCTGGAGAGGCCACCTTGGGGTGAAAGGGGCAAGGAAGTCTACTTCCACCAGTGCAATTCATCCAGCTTAAACAGCAGGGCCTGCAAGGCTTCCATGGAGAAAATCTGAGCCTGCATCATTTTGGGATCCACAGCAAGGAGGTGTGTTCTATTTAGAGACTTGTAATTTCCAGCAACTGCCCTTGTCTATCCAACTTACTTGTCATGGTAGCTTTGAGGACACACCACTCCCTATTCACGCACTTGCTTTGTAAAGCTAGTTCATGGATGGAACGGACAACTCAAGGTTTTTGTGACACTCTGCAAGCGCTGCCTTGCTCAACTTAGAAGTCGAATAAAAAGCACTTGGAGGCATGCCTTCCCTTGCATGTAAGTGGAATTGCTGAATGGATGCGGGGAAGCACCGATCGGCTGGCCGAAGGTAAAGACTGAGCTCCTAGAAACCGATGCCATATTGCACAGCACTGATTCTATAAGCAGGATCTAATAGGTTTTATAGTACTATTGCAGCTTGGTTCAGGTCGAAATGCTTGCTAGAGTGAAAATCACTGTGCAATTCAGGGAGGCGCCAAGTAGTAAACCCATCCAAAGCCTGATTTTCAACAACTTACAGCCAAGATGGAGACTCAGAAGACCTCTACTAGCAGTAACTAGCCTGATCATTGTAGCAATGTCTGTTTGCTCATAATCAATCAATAAATTTCATGTCTTGTGGCTCTCAAAGATCTGACATTTACTGTATGTGGCTCTTCCATTGATCAAGTCTGGCTACCCCGGTATATAGGATGCTTGCATGCGAAAAACTGCATGTTCCCTTTTATGTAGAACAAAAATGGCTCTCAGCTAGCCCAAATGTACAGATATATTTATTATGTTTTTATCTTGCTGTTTCTCCAATGGAGTTCAGAGTTAATTTTGATAACCAAGATCAATGATCCTGTGCCAGATCATTCCAAGAGATTGTGGACATGATCCTGTGTGTCTTTAGACAGAAAAATTTCCTGCAATCCACAGCATGCTCCAGCCACCATGGCTGGCTGGGGAATTCTGGAAGCAGCAGAACTTTTTCCTACCCTAGCTTGCACGGATTGTGCCCTCAGTGAATTTAGACATCATTTTTAAGAAAGTCTTTTACATTCATATTTCTTAGTTTTTAGTCACTTAAGGCACTGGGCATTTTAATGTAAAGCTTCAAAATTGAGTGCACACCTCTAAACATGCCTCAAAAATGTGCAGGTCTAAGGCAAAAAGAACCTGTTTCTCAAGGTGACCTGTCTTCTTAACAAATGCTATCAGTTTATCGCATCGGACACCTTGTTGCGTGTCCATCTTGCAAAACTTGAATTGCTGTGTTGCTGGAATCCAGGGCCAAAACAAACCTGTTGGATGCGAGCTAGTTGTGCCTGTCAGACCTATCAAAGAATTCAGTTTAGTTGGAAATGACCATTTTTCACCCTGTTTTTCAGCCAAATTTGACTCTGGAAGCAGATCTCAATTAAAATCCAAAGGGAACAGTGCAATCATAATTCACTTTCAAAATAGTTGTTTCCATTCTCTCCAGATCTGTCAGGGCTAACAGCTAAAAACATGTCAAAAGGTCCCATTCAGTTCTTTCCAAATAGTCTTATCCTTTCCCTACTCAGCTAGAGCAGGGGTGCCCAATCCCTTTCAGCCCAATGGCTGAAGAAGCTCTCAGGGGCCGCATTTCAGGAATGGGTGGGGCTGCAGGCAAAAGGAATGGAACTAAAAGACCGGCATGTTTTAGCTTCATGCTACCCTTGCCTGTAACAGCATTAGAAGAGGCATTTCAGCCTTTTAGACTGAGGGAATAGCTGGGAAAGCCACCAAATAGTTGGTAACCAGGTGAACGGGGGTGCAGCCAAGGAAAGGGGTCACCCACTGGGGAACTCCAATTCAGTGCAGCAGCCTGAAGTTCAGCACCCTGGCACTAGAGGGTTAGCACAACTAAAATCTCTAACATGGCACTTAAAGGGATAAACCAAAATAGCCCCACACTTGCCCTTAGTCCACCTGGGAGGAAGCAAAGGGACCCTCCTTTTATTTTTCCTGTAAGGATGCACATCACATTCAGCAGACACACTAAACACCCCTGTCCCACCGATAACTGCCAAAGTATCCAGTAGCAGGTGCCAATCGGAGATAATGTTTGCTTGTCTAAACTTAGATGATACGTTTTTCCACTATAAGGGCATTTACAACACTTGCTTCTTCCTTCAGGCATGCGATAGTCATAGATTTCCATAATATCCCCTCCTTTCTTTCTTCACAGATTTAAATCTGGAGGGTCTATAAATGCTTCTGCTAGAAACCACTTTACCAGAGGAAAGAATGGGCTGAACTGCTGGAGGTGTAAGGAGCAGCAGCCATGCTCCCATGGGGACGTCAGCCTTGGGGGCGACTGTGCCGTGGGTCGAGCCCATTCCTACCGTTCCTTGTCTTGGTGAGTGTGACGTTTGGCGTGCTAGCCCCACTGACTTGCCGGCAGCTCCTGCATTCCTACTTCTACATGCGGCAGTGGTACCTCAACCCAATGAGCCAAGATTTCCTCAAGCAGAACCAAGAGGATGGCCAGAGCGCCCTCCATTACTTTGAGCAGCTGCGGGCCCCCAATTCCTCCGAGAAGCTGACTGGGGAGGCCCTGCAGCCGTGGCTGCTGATTACCATCATTACAGTGCAGAGGCGCCCCGAGTTCCACTACGTGCTCCAAGTGGCATCCCACTTCCATCGCCTGCTCCAGGAGTGCGGCCCCTCTTGCCGGCACCATCGCGTCTTGCTCTGCAACGTGGAAGCGGAGCCCGGCAGTCACTGGGATGCCATGCTGCTAGCCAACTTCTTTGCGATGGTCAGCCGCTATGGTGGCCGCAAGGATTTGGAGTTCTCGCTGAACCGCTTTGAAAAGGAGAAGCAGGATTACACCTACTGCCTTGAGAAATCACTCCAGGCTTACAACCCGGAGTATGTGCTGCTGGTGGAGGATGATGCTGTCCCGGAGGAGCAGATTTTCCCAGTGCTGCACCACTTGCTGCAGGTGCGGTTCTCCAGGCCTCACCTCCAGGACGCCCTTTATGTAAAGCTTTACCATCCCGAGCGACTGCAGCATTACATCAACCCGGAGCCCATGAGGATCCTGGAGTGGTTTGGAGTAGGCATGTTCTGGGGGTCACTCTTGAGCTTCGTGTATGTCAGGGTGACCAACCGCTCCAGCCTCAGCTGGCCCATCATGCTGTTCTTTGCCCTGTACAGCATGCTTCTGGTAGAGCTGGTGGGGCGCCATTACTTCCTGGAGCTTCGCCGCTTGGCCCCGCCGTTCTACAACGTGGTGCCGGTGACGGAGTGCTGCACCCCAGCCATGCTCTTCTCTGCTCCCTCTGCCCGCCGTGCGCTGGGCTATCTGAAGGACCTGCGCTGCCGCCAGGGCTTCGCCAAAGATACCGCCCTTTACTCCCTGCTGCGCACGAAGGGCGAACGGGCGTTCGTGGTGGAACCCAACCTGGTCAGGCACGTGGGGGTGTTTTCCAGTCTCAGGTTGAATGACAACCCAAAGCTACTTTGACTGCAGCAGCTGAGTGGAAATGTGCTGCCCGTTGCTAGACTGGTTGTACCACTTCAAACCGTGAGCTGGGGGTTGAATGTTTGGATGGTTTACAAAATACACGCAACACCTGTCAGAAATACAGGATTTGGATCAGCCTTTTCCCTCAAATGGTAAAGTTCTGTAGGTTAGGAACAGGTGGGATATAACAAAAAGGCACTTAAGTGCCTTGCCTGCAGTCTGAAACAGTGCATTGCAGCAATCAAGAATAGCGTGGAGCTTCATCTTATCTCCTGGAGCTCTAAGTTATATCTCTTACAGATAAAGAACAAGAGTTCACAAGTTCGATTTTGTAAGGGTGCAATCCTGTGCACGATTAGAAAGAAGTCCTGCAGTTCCCAGTATGTTCCTGTCAAGACTTTGTAGGACTTGTTGTAGGATAAGGTGTAGGACTTTCCTGTCCAAACATGCATAGGATTGCATCCCAAGTTGTTAAAGTGGTGCTTATTATGTTTGTGCAAGAAATTCTTTTAAGAGAGGTACCCCCTTCATTAAGAAGGACTAGCTCTCTTTTTCAGAGATAAATCATACTATCGTTGCCTTAGCCTATAACAATCGTTTTCAGGGAAGAGGGTGGGTTCATTCACTGTCCTAGCATCTATTTCTATCAATAACAGTATCTGCTATCTTGCTTTCACACAGGGCCAATTTATGAGCTTTGGCCAATGTGGTACAGTCTTCTCATGTGAACATAGCAACACACTTGAGTGATTGCTTGAGTCAAGTGGCAAAATCTTACCCGTGGAATGCCTTCACACTGGCAGATAGGCAAAATTAGCCATGATGGTTCTGGAAGATTTGGCTGATGTTTGTGATCTTGTTCTACCCTTTTCCATACCTGATGTTCCTCCGCTTGTTCTCCATGGTCAGTCATTTACTTTTCTTAGACTTGAACCAATGTTAGTACTTAGAAGGTGAGTACTATTCAAAAGTTTTGAGCACTCCTGATTACCAATGTAAATCTAAGCTTTTCCATCTTCTCTTTCACCCCTACATCTTCCATTTCCTGCCCTGGGTGCTACTCATTCTGAATTCCATAGTACTTCTCCTTGGTAAGAGCCATCGTAACAAGAAGTACCAGTGCCTTATTTTGATGATGTACACAGCTTCTGGGAAGCATTTCTCATGCTTCCTTTGCACTCTGATAAACCATCTGGAGAACATTGTCTTCTCCTCCATCTTCCTTGTTTCTTGAAGAAAAGAACCTCAAATATTTTAAAACAACATTGTTTCCTTCAGTGGGAGTTCATTTGTAACTAAAGAATGTATTTTGAAAAATAAATCCTTCTTCCCTTCGCCTTGGAGGTGGTATGCACTTGTGGTGGTCTTGCTGTTGCAGCCTCCTCCCTTCAGAAAAGGGGAGTGGAGCATGTTGGCCTCTTAGAACAGGGGCAAATGTGTACAAGAAGCCGGGAAGCCACCAGACCATTGGCATGGGAAAGTGGTGTGGCCCTTTGAGGATCAAATATGGCGCATGGGCCTAGGGTTTTGCAACTGTGATTTAAATGATACAAAGAGTGGGATAAGACAAGCTCAAGCCCATAACTCTGCTGGTGAGGCATGGAGTAAGCCCAAAATGGGCAGAACGTTGGCCATTGCCCAACTGGCAGCATTCAGTGAGGAGGAGGGTGAGGAGGAGAGATTCAATCTACCGCTTATGTACCGTATGTTGCATTTCCATGATCTGGTGCTCTTTCTGATGTTTTGAACTTTAGCTCTCATCATTTCCAGCCAGTATGGCCAATGGTCCAGATGTGTTATAGAGCACCAGGTTGGGGGAAGGCTGACCTAAGTGAGGAAGGATGTAGTGTCTCACTCCCCTGCCAGCATGTGAGATGCTCAAACAATGTGGAACTCGGAAGAGCGGGTGGTGGTAGACCAGCGTAAGTAGCAGCAGCAGATACTGCATCTGCTGTAGTCCATAAGCATCACATGGAATGGAGTGGGAGGAAACAGAGACCAAGAAGAGTTAAAAGGAAAGGGTAGCAGAAGAAGAAAATCCAAGAGGCCTGGCTGAAGAGGCACAGGGGCTGACAAAAGCCTGCTAAAAGTAAGACCAACAAGAAGCAGATTAAATCAAGTTCCAGTGGAGCCCCTTTGTGCTTATGAAAGCTCATTAAAGTGATGAGCCCTTTGGGTCAAGAAGAAATCTTCAATTTGCTTACACACTCTTGCAAAGCATCACATGCACTGATGTTTATGGAAAATACGGAAGGCCGGCGATGGTTCTTTGTCATTATTTCAGGTGCAGCAATTTCTAGCATTACTGTGTTGAATCGTTTGCAATGGTTTCAAAAGCTGGTGGGTCTAAAAATAGCAACTACTTTCATGCAGAGCTGGGCAATGACTGTATATCCAGATAATCGTTTTACAACACATCTCCTGACATGTAGTAAAATTTGCCCTTACCAGCTGGCAGGAGGATCCTAGCACCTAGTTTTACCATGGGGCGAGAGAGCTCAGGCTCCTGGTAAAGCCCGAATCTGCAAAAGTAATGGGAACAGAGGATCGAATACATGATCTAACCAGTGGCAGTGAGGACTAATTGAAACATTGCAGCCCCATGCAGAGGCTGCCAGAAATCATGACCCAATGACAATAATAATTCATTTACCTTTAGTGTGGCAAGCCATCTACCAAATGCATTGGCCCCTGCCATGAAGGTTAGCAGACAAACACATAAGCAGGACATGGTATTCTGGAGAACCGAAAGAGCCACACTGGGTCTGCAGACCTGGTCTATATCAACAGGCATCCAAAACAGAAATTTCATTTTTAAATGCACTTTGAGTCAACCATTGATAAAATTCATCTATTTGTAAGTGAAAGATGAGATTTTTTGCTTTCATAGACATTTGTTTTAAATGCTTGCATTTGCAAGGATTCAACCTGAAAACACAGGTGAGTATTTATATAAACATATAGAAATACCTAAGTTATCTCAATTATCTGAACCAAGATCTCAAAACAGACTTGTGAACTGCGGCTAAATGCAGTCAAAGATACAATTTTACAGTCTCCATTTTCTGTCTCATAGAACCAATTTATTTTCATCTAGGAAGTTCCTGACTGGCCACATGGGGTTGCTGTAGTACCGAACAGCTGCTTGAATGTAAAAGCTCAAAACAGAATAAGCTTTTTTCAGATGATGATGTTTGTCAAGTAGAGAAGTGGATGTACCTACTGATTCAAGCTCCTTTGGAAGTCCAGAGGGAACATAATCTTAGAAGACGGTGCTTCAGATACAAGAACAGAATTTGATGATAATCTCAGATGTTCCACGTGGTACAGGATCAGACAAATTAACCCCATCCTAGAGTCAAACAGAGCTGAAAGCTGATAAGCTATCTCCTTGGGTGTTCAGATGCAAAGGAAAACCGAAGTTGTGTGTGGGAATGATTTTCACAAAAATGCTTTCAGAACAGTCAGTCTTGTTATTTCTGGGTTCCCCTTGATCTCGCCTAGATCAGTTCTTGTTATAAGAACTTAGCCTGCCTTTTCATATTGGTGTCTGCTTTCTTATCACTACAAGAGCACAACCTGAGAACCAACTATGGTACCACTTCTTCTTTTGAACAACACAGTGTGTTGTAGGGTTTGCAAGAGCCATGGTGGATTGTCTTGACATCTGAACCCAGATGACACAAGCTGTTGTGGGTCAACTCAAACAGCTAGCAAGCTACTTGGCAGGCAAGCAAAAACTCCTTGCTTCTCTTGCCAAGAGACTAGTGGGTGACCATAACTGGCAGCCTCCCCCAAAGTGCCCAAGCAGGACTTGGGGGCCACTGGCAGAGGCCTCTTCTTCCTCATTGCTGCCACACCAGTGCCACCCCACTAGGGGAGGGAGGAAGGGAAAGGGGAAAGCCCAGACTATCAGAACAATGGAAAAAGGGAACCCTCAGCAAGTGATCCGTTCTGACCTCTGGAAAGACTAATCTGACCATCTCCTAGTACCTACTGGGAGGGTAAACCTGGGGAAGGAGGTGGCAAAAAAAGACAGAACATGTCAAGGTGCCTTGGACTTCAGCTTTCATTAGTTCTAGCCAGTATGGACAGGAATCCTGGAACTGTAGTCCAAAGCACCCAGAAGACCCCCAGTTGGGGAAGGCTGCAATAGTAATGGGAGGCCATGCCCATGTTTAGCTCTGGCCCGTTCACAAGTATGGCGCCCTCAATAGATGAGCCTCGAGGGAGTGTAGCCTTTAACAGCACCCTTCCCCACAACACACGGCTACACTAATAACATCATAGAAGAAGGGATTTTTTGGTAGACACAGCTATTCATATTATAATATTGAAGGCTGAGAAAAGGTTCAGGCCCAAAGTTCTCTTCTGTGCCTGTTGCCCTGAGGGTGGACCATGAGTTATTCCACAGAAAAATTCACAGTATTCGATCTCAAAATGCCCTGCTCTGGACAAGTGGAGAGGTTGTTTAAGCAACTAGCTCAAAGTGGAGAGACAACAAAAGGGATGGAAGTGGGAGGAATTTGCTCCTTCCGTATTTTGCCTAGTGAATTGAACCTGCCATTTGAGGATTGTTCATTCTGAGTGATAAGAAAGCAGACACCAATATGAAAAGGCAGGCTAAGGCGAAGCCTTTCGGAGTCGGTCAGATACAGTTAGTCAAAATATGCTCTGGTTAATATTCTTAGTAGTGCCATGAATGGTCTGGCAGAAAAGTTTTTAAAACTTCAAGTCCTGATGAATCAATGTATCTGAAACTATAAAAGTTAGGCTAAAATCTAAACTGATATGGCAACTAGTAGCTAATGGAATGAATACATGATACAACTAGAAATGTCTTGTTTACACAATGCAGCAGAATAAAATTGCTGAATTTTTCACATTTGAATTTTGCTTGTAACAGTTCTCCCTCTCTCAAAGATCTGAGATGCAATAAGGAGATCACATTAACAAGAAACAATCGTAATTATTAATAGTCTGAGCAGCTGATAGATCTG